CCTAAAACATAATACAGTAGGACATCTGGGGGATTCTACTAATATCACCACAAAAGCTCCTCCTGTGTCTGGCTCCATCCCCTGGTCCATGCACTGCAGTGGAGTGGAGTGTGGATGGTTACTTAGCTCATCTTATGTAGATCCTTTGCTTAAGGAATTCTTTCCTTGTGGCCATTACACAGTCCCAATCTGCTAATAAATAAAAAAGTAGGAGCCAGAAAAGGAGTAACAAAGCCTGTTGACATTAACAGGAGTTGGGCTGGGCCCTTGTTTCTACCTGTTTGATTTACAGGAAGGCTGCATATTCACAAGTTTCAGTTCAGAAAAGAGAAATGTAATAACCAGTTTCTGTTACCAGCAGAGTCTCAGTGACCCCTTGGGGAGTGTTTAATGATCAAATCAAAGAGATATTTTTCCCTTATTTTGTTAACGTAGGTCAGTATTGGGTGTTTTGTTTCCTGTAATTTATTTCCACCATGTAACGCTAATTCTACACTATACATTAGACTAAAGAACAGTAGCTATTCCATTCACTGAGCACAGCTGATAACAGAGTATTGGGGAAAGACTGTTTAAATGCATTGAACATAAAAATGCTCTTTTGAAATATCTTTTTTAAAGCATATGTCCACACTGTTCAGATATTTTTCATTCTGATCATAGGAGCTGTTTTAATTATAATAAAATATTTCCCCTTAGAATATTCATTAATCGTTGTGGTTCTAGTCCTGCTGGTCAAGCCACATTCGGAACTATTATTAATCTCAGTGGGGATGATGGAAGGATCAGGTTCAATAAACATGCAAGCCTCATCCTTTCTGTCCATGAGAATCCTACCTGTTTCTCAGCAGAACGGTCAATTTGTTGCAAAATTCTATCAAAAAAGATTCCTTTAGGGCCCTAATCTGCCACCCACAAATATGTGAATGGCCTATAAGCTTCAATGAGGCTACTGAAACAGAATTGTGTGATTCCTATGTTTATTACAAGCCTATATCCAAAAACAGTGAAGCCAGGTGTGAAACAGAGAACTTAACCTTCTTGTAACCCATAACACTGGATTCTAGATTCTCATGAACATCACACAGACAAATACACACACACATCACCTGTGTTTAGTCAGGATCCTCAGCTTATGCCTTTGAAATGCATAGGGGTGATCCTGGATAAGAGTAGGCCATGTAGCGCCTCTCTCTGACCCCACCTTCCACACAGACCCCACATCTGTTGTCTTTCTGAACCACAACACATTCCTTCAGAGTGCTTTTGAGCGGGAAGGGCCCTAGTGAACATGTTTCTATCTTTTCCACATCCCCACTCCAACATATAAAACTCCTTTTATGCTGCATTTCCTGCTTGACTGCATCTGTTGGAGCTCAGCCTGGGAGAGATGTTTACAAAACCCATAATTCACTCTCGGTCTTCATAACTACTAATGGAAATAAAGATGAATGCATTGTATGAACAGCTCCCTCAGACAGACCTGCAGGGTAAGCATGTCAGCCAAGAAAACCCACTGCACAATCTGTCATCCTCTTAATTTTTTTCCTCCAGCTGTCTGACTTCTAGTTAGCCAATATAAGTGTTAGGACATCTGGGGATCTCCACTGAACATAATCAGAATCACTCCTCTAGTGTTGTCCTTTGCCCCTGTATCACTAACACCTGTGCACAGTGAAGAGTACGCTGGGTTGCTGGGGGAGTCTGGGTTATCTTAAATCAGCAAGTGGTCTGGTTATAGACACTGCATAAACTGGTTTGACCCAAATCACTTAAGTCTGATACAACTTTCAAACAGGTTTATCTCAGACCAGTTTCAGCCATTTTCAGACTGGTTTATGTGCACTAAACATCTCTCCTGTTACAAGTTTAAACCAGTTTCTGATCACTTAAACCAGTTTATGTGTAATGTATGTCCCTAGTCATGAAGAGTATACAATTGGATTGTCCCCAATTGGTCGCACATAAACTACAAATCTCTAATTCTCAATAGGATAAATATGTAGCATAGGTCTTACTTTAATGACCTATTTTAATTTTTTTAATACGCTCAGCCCCAAAGTTAATGTGTGAATTGATTTTTTTTGTATTAGCTTCTAATTTATAATAAGACAGGTCATGTACTAATTTTACTTTGCCCTTTTGCAACATACTTTGTGCCTGTTTCTTCACATTAACTTGTATACAATACATTTTGTGGAAACTACTATTCAGGCTTATATGTAATTAAGTCCAGTTAGCTGACTCAGACTTAAAAATTGCAGTCACTGTAGTGAATAGCTGAGCAAAATATTGTTTCATCACCACTTGGTTAGTAGTGAATAAATACATTTTGCATTTGGGCTGTGAAATGTTTATAACACTTTCACAAGTCTAAGCTAAAAGCAGTTTTGATTAGATACTCTGAAATGGAGGTTAAAATGGCCTGGCACTTATTGTTACATAATATTTGCAGCAATCATTTTTATGTCTGTTGGTTTTCAAATGCTATAGTATGTTAAGGGAGAAAGCGGAGTTTATGGTGGTGGCTAGACTCCCTGGATACAAGGAGTCTTCCAGAAGAAGTTAGGGGACAATTCAGTGCTCGAGTGTCCCAGGTATTGAAGTCAACATTGTATTTCTTCAGCTTGGCCTTCTAATTGGCCTTCTTGAGTCTCTTCTTTTGCCCACCTCTGGAGTGGTGACCATTGCGAGTTGAGAACCTATTGCCAGGCACCATTACGACACAACTCATCCAATGGACCTGGTAGAACGTAAACCTGGCTTCAGTGCTGGTGGTGTGGGCTTGAGCCAGAATGCCAGCATTCATTCTTCTGTCCTCCCAGTTGAGCTGGAGGTATAACAAGAGACCCAAATCCTGTTACTCAGTTATAATGGAAAGGGAGGAGAGGAAATTACAGTGGGGTGGCAGGAGGCTCCTGTCCCTTTAAGAAGACATAAGCTAAGCTGACTGCATGGAGCCACAGCTGCAAGAGTGCAGGCTGGCCCTTAATTAACAGGGAACACCCCCATGCAGATCAGTAGTGTTAAGATCATCAGGGAGGTCAGAGTTTCTCACTGAAGCACTGCTAGAGATGATCACTCTTAGCACGCTCTTTAAAGCACTCAGTATTGAACCTCTTTGATTGCTTCTTTTGTTTACATCATTTTGGGGTGATACAAATGAACACGGTGGAACGTATCAAATGATGATCCACCCAGCAGTCATCTGCACTGGTCATAGCTGTAGTGATATGGATGTCATGACAGTGCATGCCCAGGACAGTGACAAAGACCATCAGATGCCAGTGTTTTGAGCAGGGATACATCTATGACACCTTTCATTTGCCACTTTGGCAGAGTAAGCATATTAGATTTCTGAAAATAAAAATATTATTAGGAGCATGCTAACAATCCCAAAGTGTGCCTCGGAGGCGAAGGCTGACGATGCCCTTGCTAATGACTGACTTACAGTATCATTAGTTTAAATCCTTCCTGACTGCTTTTGTCTTTTTGTTTTTCTGCATTTAATGGTTTGTTTCCCAGTGCTAAAAGAAGCTTATCACTTCCAACTTCCACTCAGTATTTAACTGTTATATATTTCAATTTCGTATCCGCCAGTTATTTTGTATGATTGTCAAACCAGTATCAGAACAAATCTGATATTGCTTGGTTATAAACTTGGAGAGGGCATGCTTATGCCAACCTAGGTATCTTGTTAAGCAAACTGCCCACCATCAGTAGGTCCAGAAATGACAACTATGAATAGAAACATTGGTTTTAAGTATATGTCACAGTTCAGCAACAGTACATTGTTTCAGGCAGCATAGAATATGCAACTACAAAACAGCTTATTCAGTAGGCCTCTTCAACCCCAGGATCTCAAACTAGATCCATAAATAAGCATCCCTAAAATGTTCAGAGGATTTAATCATATTTCTCCAAGCTAAGTACTACCTGACATGCTCATCTCCTTCTGTTTATACAATAAGCTTGAAATAATTATATGATTCAGTCACATTGAAATTCTGTAGCCTTGGTACAGAGGTCTCACTAGGTGCTCTAGCAGTTGCTTCTGGTCCTAAAAATGTTTTAATCTCTTAAGAAGGGAAAAGGCCTATGCACCCATTAAGGATGTGTACACGTGCCTGGTATTACTGTCATTTAGGTCTTGTCCCTCTGCTGAACTCCCTGTAAAGAGAATTCTAGCAGGGTCTGGTCTTCTGTAGCACTTAACATTTATACAACTCTTTAAAAGCAGTTTTTGACTTGATGATCTCTCACTGCTCTATCACTAATATTAACATGAAACCCATGAGTGCAGTTGTAAACATGAGCTCAGTGGGACTTTACTTGAATATGGTTACCCTCATGCATAAGTGTCTGCAGGACATGCAGGATGTATCCATCCTTCCAAATCAACTTCCTTTTGTTTTAAGGACTCTGATTGCTGGCATATGCTTGCTTCACATCATTATATTCTTGTGCAGTAGTCTCCTTAAGTCTGAAGTTGACAGCTCTTAGCTTGAGGAGATCATGGTCAGGTAACACTTGAATTTACAATGCTTCAGCTGTAGATTGCGGGACAGTCTCTTTCATTTTCAGGTCTGTCAAGGAAGGCTCTTACTGTACTGACTGGTCTCCTTTTATGAAGTCAACATTTGCTACTAGAAATGACACAGCTCATAGCTATTTCCTATTCTAAGATGCTACCATGTGACATGTGTTGGCAAAGATTAATACAGTACAACTCTGTTTCTTTGGCTTAAATGTTAGAGCTTCTGGTTTGTAGTCTGGTGGTTCAGTTAAGTCCCAACAGGAACAGATTCCTCACTGTGGTGTCAAGTAATAGGTAACTCTTTCTTCCAGTGTGGAAATGTTATGCAGCTTTGGCAGCGTGATGGCAGATATGCTGAGTATGCTTTATGTTGGAGGAAGGTAATGGTGTTTTTCTGCAGTGAGGGAGAGAACTATTTTTTGAAGTGATGAAAGTATTTAATAATCTAACTATTATTTCATAGAATCCTGAAGAAAAGACATAGGAATGAGTAGTACTGATGACTATGGAAGGATATTCTCCTTAAATACAAGATTGCTGGCTTTTTATCCTTTTTCTTCAGTGCCTAACAGGGACAGATTCCTCACAGCAAGGCTGTAAGGAAGCAGCCTGCCAGGCTTCTCAGCTCTTTCACTAAATTATGGGTGAGTTTCTTAAAAATACCCCCGTCTTTTCTTAAAGCACTTTTTAAACTGAATCATTTAGGTGCAGGGACAGAAGTGAATCTGGGGGGGAGATCAAGTTGCAGGATCTGTTCTTTTGAAAGCCAGCTAACTGATTGTACATTTCAGGTAGCTAGGCATATTGGTGATATTAATTATGCCCACAGACAGTTGCAAAAAAAATGACAGATGCCAATCACCTCAACTGGGGCAGGTCAAGGAGTTAGCAGGATTTTACGGACCATTTCTATTTTCATGTTAGTTTATTTGATGGATTGATTCAAGTCAAGTGCAGTAAATAAAATAGGGAGATTCTAGAAATGAGTATTATTTAAATTCATTTTTATTCTGTTTCCTTTGTAGGTGAATAACATAGCAGTTATGGCACATTTTTGAGCTGTTATAACTGCATTCCATGAACATAACACCAAATAATGCTGATAGTGTAAGCTCTGCAACTGTTATTTTAAAAAGGTCTCTTTAAAAATCTACATTCACTAAATCTGTTTATGCTTTCAAATATAAACTTGATATTGTCTGCTCCCACCTGTGTTTAGGATGTGCACAGTAAACTGTATAAACGTCTTTGCAGGATTTAGGAGGCATGCAGTGCCACTGTATTTTTATTGCAATGCATTTTCTGTGTTTTTATTGCAGAAAACCCAGATGAAGATGTATTATTGAGATATTGATTAGCTTATTTAATTTATATTTTGTTTTATGTTTTTAAGTGCCTACTGATTTAATGTAAAAGGATGCATGGTTTCATTGTTCTGATGCATACTTAGGACACTGCACCTGTTACAAGTTCTGTAATGGAATATTTTTGCAAACTCTGTTTGGAAATAAAAACTTATTAGACATATCTGAGTGGTTTTTCATATATTTAAGGCTTGGCTATTAAAATATACTTTATGACAAGAAGCTTTGCGGTGTAGTAAGTTAATGTGGCATTACGCTTTCATCTTCACAACAGGGTTATTAACCAGTTATACATTTAGGGATGTGGAAGAAATCAAACTTGCGTTGTGGTTGAATCAGAACTGACAGAGCCAGCTTTTCTTTATTTAGGACTATACTGTGATCACAGGGCGAATTCCATACAGCAAGGGGAATCACCCACTTGTCTGTTTTAAAGGATTTCTCAAACTCTATAAGTTTACAAGCATATTTATACTTAAGCCAGGGAAAGAGAAAAAATATGACCTTGGAGAAACAAAACAATAGTAAATCACACACAGACATACAGGCAGTTTACTTAAAGAAAACATCCCTGCACAGGGTAATATATTAAGACAAAACAAGGCATGCAGGATTCCTTATCTCAGAACATGTAACTGAAATAAGCAGTATCAGCACTTCTGGTCTCTGTCTGTTTTCCTAGATGAGCAGGCCAGAACGCCAACCAAATCCACTACCACAGGGACCATATATAAAATTTGGCTCTGCTTGAGGACAATAAGAAGTTATGATCCACCCTTAATAGCAATTTCAGACCACATACAAAATTTTCTGCTGTTTACTGCTTTTGGTTTTTTTAATGACTTAGGATTTTTTTTTATTATAGTGGCTTAATTGAAGAAAAAACATTTGAAACAGTTAAACTGCTACTGGTTTTCTCTTTTTAAAAATAAGGGAAAAGTTAAAGACTTTCAAAACAATGATTACTTGAAAATATGACATGAACATCTCATTTGAAGGTTTTCAGTAGGAATTACAAAAATAGCATGGATTTTTAATAGAGTTGTTTATAATCATATGGGAAGGTAATATACTATATTAGTACAGTATGCTCTACCTATATGTAGGGTACAGTAACTCTAAGCTCACACAACCTTTAATAACTTCCAGTGGATGTATTCTGGAGGGGTCACTTGCCCTAAATTGATTTGCTTCTCACTCAAAAGGAATAGAAGGTAATATAGCTTCTATGCTACTTACTGTGAGCACTCTCCAAATAGAAGCTATCTTGTCAAATACATGCATGCGGTAGCTTTTTGATGTGGACTGTTTATCCTGTAGGGCCCTCTAGGGACTGAACTGCAATTGCCAAAAGACATTTCAGTCAGACCAGAGAACTGGGGGAAAAGAATTATATTTGGCCATAGAACCCACCAAATTATATCCCGTGGGGCTGTGCTTTTCTACATTATATCAGTCTGAGAGGTGATCAAGAACAAATAATTCCTTTTGTTCGTTAGGCAAACAGCTGAAGTTGCACACATGAGAAGCAGAGGTAGTCTAACGGGTCCCAATAAGCAAATTGCTTATTGCTAAACCAAATGCTCACTCCACCATCAGAGAAGCACTTTAGAATGAGCGTAGCTAGCTCAGATGTTTATCTGATGAGATGCCATTTGACTAGAGATATCACACATTAATTTGGAAATATAAGAGCAGCATGGGGTATGTTATTAACTATGCTGTTGTCAAATCATTGCCAAATATTCCAAAGTGAAAATGTCAGTTTCTCAGCTGCAGTAACCTTCCAGCGTAGTTTCAAATGCAATGCTGCTTGCTAATTCAGACCTTTTCCTGCAAATACTTCCATACTGGGAATGAAATTTGATGGATTGTTAATCCAGATCCTGGGGATAGGACAGATCTGTAGTGTCCTCAGAGGAGATTTAGGGTCTGTCCATAAGTTTCCCCACAGACTTGGCTATACCCTCAGCATCTCAGTTCATAAACAAAAGTTTCTGCCTCATCTCTGTGAAATTGAGCTTGACCACATAAACAAGCTCAATTTTGTTTTGCTCTTTTGTTTAGTCTGCATCTGAAAGGAATGAAATAAGAGACTAAGGTCCCACATGCCCTACAAAAATTATTGAACTGAGCCACCTGGTTACTGGGTGTATTGCTCTATCACAATTAAAACCCAGTTTGAGTGTGTACATGGGACTGAAACATGATGAAACCTTATTATGCATATGACTCTACACTTGATTCAGATAGCAGTTATATAAGGGGAAGATCTTAACGCAAATAGCTCTATCGCATCCAAGGCAATTTAGGGCTAAATTGGGACTATGGCCTCTACTCCCTCATAGGAGGGATACAAAACAGTATTCATACAGAATTCATATTCTGCCACATGATGACTAGTAAGGAAATGCTGGTTGTTAATGCCTGTGATAACATAGGACCATAGGGAAAATAGCTCAGTAGTGTAATAATGAGGCAAAAGCAATAGGGACAACTGCTCCTGGTGGGAGTGTGGGGAAAAAAAGCAGCTGCTGCTGGCAGCTATATGTTTGTGATTGCAAACCGTAGGTTGCTGTTTGCACTTTGCCCAGGTGCCCAGCTGCTTCCCTGTACTCCTGGCAGGGCTAGAGAAGTGTTGCAAGGTTGTCTAGTCCAGCCTGTTTGAGACAGGATCATCCCTGACTAAATCATCCAGCCAAGCGTCTGTCCAATCTGCTTTGGAAAATTTCCAAGGATGGAGATTCCATAGTTTCTCGAGGTAGCCTCTTCCAGTGCTTGACTACCATCAACCATATTATTAGCTTTAATCTCATCATGTTGTAAAATATCTTCATCAGATATTTCAATAGATCTTTAATTAGGCAAAAAAAAAGAACCAAGCACCTCAAGAAATGTGTCAGTTTTAGACCCAAATAACACCTCTCTTCCCAGGAGTACCTAGTTGTATAGGATGGATTTAGGATGGACATGTTTGCATTTCACATTTTAAATAAAACATGTCTTTCTTGAGTCTCCCAATTTTACCATTATTGATATAGCTGAGCTTTGTAAGCAGCCTCTATAACTGAGTTTCCTATGGGTTGCATCTTGGATGTTTCTCCAAGTAGTCTGCTTCCCTGCTTATAAATTCAAACACTAGGTGGTGGATTTTAAAGGTTGAAGGAGACACCACAATGTGATCTATCAATAATTTCAACTGCAGTTACTTTCTGCACTCTGTGTGTGATTGCAATGTAAAACTCACAGGTGAAAAACCCTACTCCAGATGCTTAATTTTATTCACAGCTGTTTACAGTTGCCAGCCATCTGGCAATCACTCTGCAACCAACTAGTCACAAACAGTAAGAGTATTGCAGATACAGCAGCAATGTCTTACAACTCAGGCTTTTGGGCACAAAGAACAAAAGAGATGTAAAAAGACATTTCCAAAGGAAGACTCTCAGTGACACCCCCAGCTCTCAGAAGTATGAATCCATTGTTTTTAAATGAGGAATATTGGAGGAACTGTTTGACAGAAAGATGTTATTCGTTTTGGAGTCTGCACAGAACCACCAGAACTAAAAGATACAAGTTATAATAGTCCCAACACACCCCTAACCTCCCTCAGACCCACACCCAGTCCCCACAACCCCCCACATATACACACCACAACATACCCTATGCCCCCCACACACAGCCACACCCCTTCACGACCGTCCCACATCCTACCCCACACCCTACCATACACACACACACAGCGCACACACCACACAGATTGTGATCCCAGGCTCTCCCTGCACTAGCAACAGGGTACGATGGTATGGCAGGAGGTGTGACTTAGGAATCACAGATCAGATCCCATTGTCCCGTTAACTGAACATCTGTCAGGGACCTTAGAGAAAGACAGTGTAAAGCAGAGGGTAGGCAAAATGCAGCCCATGGGCTGCATGCAGCTTGCTAGGCCATTCTATCCAGCCCGCGGGGCTCCTAAAAAATTTAGAAAATTAATATTTATCTGCTCCTGGTATGCAGTCCTTGATGGCTTGCCAAAACTCAGTAAGCAGCCCTCCGCCCAAAATAATTGCCTGCCCCTGGTGTAAAGGGAGTCTTTGAAGAACTGCAACCTCCAATGTTGAAATCAATACCTGGAAACAGGGGGGAGGAGGATGAGGGAGCGGCACACATAATGGTCATAAAAACACCCCATTTTCAAGAAATTCTAAACCTGGGGATCATTAAAAAAAAAAACCACCCTGAAAAA